AAGGCATACTTTAGGCGGTGTATAAAAGCTTCCATTGGTTCTGGTGAACCAAAATATTACCTATTTATGTATTTCCCAGTGGACATAAACACGGCACCAAATTCATTTGACCAATATTTCACGAAACCGAGGCTACTCCAAAGGGGTTTATCCAGAATCGCTGACTTTACATTAGTGCACATTCAAGTCAATTATCGAACTAACCCAACTTGCTATCACAGCTACATAGGTTGGATTGAAGTTTTTGACGCTTCGGAACGTGTTTTGCAAATTTAGAGCGCAACAAATGTTCACAAAACTAAACTGCTGCACCGATTGGACTTACAGTTACTGCACAGGCACTTAAAATGAATGACTGGGTCACTTCGTGGCTTGTGGTGTGACGTTTGATGACTCAGATTTCGAGGGGATTATATATGCGTCATAACTACTTGTATAATTCAGTCGAAGATAACGGGTTGCCATTTTTCACTCAGATGGACCCAACTTACCACACGCGCCGCAGAAAGCACAGAATCTCAACCATATGATTATTTTTAATTTTAGTTAGTCGTGCTAGACGAGTTGGCTCGGTTGGTTGTCTGGTCGACAAACTAGAGTTAAGTACCACAACACACATAGTGAATGGTTATCCTCGCAGGTTTTCAGTTGGTAAGACTGAATCACGATAGTTACTTGAGGAGCCATGATTAAAAAGCAGCAGAACAATACGATAAATGGGAACGTTGTTGGAATTTGATAACACCACGTGATGCCCCCCACACCTGGAACTCCTTCCATAACCTCTTATTTCTGCCTCTGTATCAGTCGTGTTCAAATACCTTGTCAACGACGTGTTTACCTTAGTAAACCTATCACGACACACGTAAATCATATGAACATCAGGCAACCAAACCGCAAAACTTCACTTCCGTTTTTCAAGGAATATCAAAAGCAAAGGTTTGCTGGCTGCATCAAAACCATTCGGATGAACAAATTTTTGATCAGAATGTTCCCAGTTAATTGTTGCTATGTTAACCAAGCATTCTACTGTTTTATCTATTGTCCGTCGACCAATGAGAAGAGCAGCACGAGAGAGGTTTGGAACTCATGACTACTCGATCGGTTCCAAGTATCTTCCAAGAATTTGAAGCACAAACCGTGTTCAAAACAGAACGGTGGGATGATCGCCAACACTACTGTATCAACTCCTTTGTTATGGTCGTTGCTTTCTCTGGGCTTTTCTACTCTCGTTAACATTTTGTCTGGGTCTTGCACACATGTTACCATTTCGAAATTTCCGCATTTATAATTTTGCCTGTTTGATAACAAGATTCATGACAAAACGACCCGTTGCGGTTCGATGACAAACCAATCGTTTCGTGCACTAAAATAAGACAACTTAGTTTGTGTCTACAAGGAAGTAGTAGGTGGAGTTGAATGGCACAGGTAGAAATTCATCGCATCTAGACTCAGTCAGACAGTCATCACAGGCCCGGAAGAGCACTGTGTGGTCGTTTCATCCTTGCGAGAATCGTCAGCAGTGTGCAATCCATCTGACCCTTGAAGGGATCGAGCCAGCACCTCGACTGTTACCAGTCTGTGGTTGAAACTACCTAGCTAGGGGGGGACAGCAACGACCATGGTGTGTAAGTTACTGGATGTGATACAGCTCCGCTCACTACCCACTGACGTGCACTTCCCTGCCGTGCTGAGTATAGGATAGTCCCCCCACCAAGCGACGAAATTACCGAAGTTAAACCGCAAATTAATTTAATACCTCGTAAGCAGTTTGATCTGCTTAATGTTTACAAGGAAGTAGTAGAAGGAGTTGGAGGGCACAAGTAGAAACTCATCACGTCTAGACTCAGCGGCGCTATATCACGTCTAGTAGTTTAGTCACAACAGTCGTTACTGTCCCCCGTAGTTCACTGGTTTCCATTATAGACTGGCTAGAGTAGAAGTGCGGGCGCGAGCCCTACAATGGTCAGGTGGGATACGCACTGCTGACGATTCCCGAAAGGATGAAACGTATCTACAGTGATATTCCGGGCGTGTGATAGCTGTCTGACCAAGTCTAGATGTGATGAATTCCACCTCTAGTTTCCTTTTATGGGAGCAATCTCAAGCGATGTCCTTAACTATGTCAGATTGAATACGCTCCTTTCTCTGCCCCAAGTCTGCATCAGAGAACCGGCAATCAAATGAAAGTGGATAGAGGGAATGGGAGTGCATAAAACTCGGGACAATCCCGATGTCCTGGTTTCATAACCCAATTTCCATTTCTACTCTAAGGAACAATGTAGTATGTCCATAACTCTATACCTGCGAAAAATTCTAGTACTGATTGCTATGGGCATATATATATATATATATATATATATATATATATATATATATATATATCCTAGACCTAAAGGCAGCTGGACAGCCTTTTGATTTCCGGAGAACTACCAGTGTTATTCCGTTCTCTCGGAACAAAGCAACCGCGCTTCATCTCCGCTGTAGATACTTGGTAGGTGCGTAATACAGACAACTGAATTATTAAGAGTGTCCAATGCCAAGTGCAATCTGTCAATAATACTTAGATGAAATGGATCGTGAAGATAAGTACTGATGCGCAGTTCAGTAGCAGTCCATCAGCATAGACTTACGACTTCCGTAATGAACTCGTACAAGTGAAAGGAATATATAAGCTTAATAACCGGTGGCTTTTTAAAACATAGGATTCTTCCTTTCTCACATCAACTAGTCGGTATTGCGACAAAGGAAACGTCACCCCGCTTATTGTTGACAGTTGAAGGTGAGGCAGTTAAGCTCACGGAACACTCTCGTCTGCCAGTATGATAACGCAGCTAGTTGCCGACCGATAATGCGAACGCAGGAAAGTAGAGGGGGGAGAAATATAGTGAAACGTAAATCCTAACGGAGGATAATGGGGTTCAAACTTTTGATTCCCAGTTGTTTCAAGTCACTGAGCTCAAGATGTGAGGATATCAAACTATATGTTACAAATACCTACGTTAAATTTCTTCCACTTCAAACAGGGAGTGGATTTTCGGTAGGTTTTCGAGATTGATGCCTAGCGTTAAGGAAGTTCAGCCTGTAATGATGTTTCATGAGGGATGTATACATGAACAACGCGAACCTCTGACGAAGTTAGACGTTTTTTCTCTGCCCAGGATGCGGTACCGTACCTTTTGCAGTCCTTCAAACTTACGGTAAACTTCCACGCTAGAGGAAGTTGGGTTAAATCATTGGAGCCTATTCTTCCCCAAAGCTTACTTCTAGTTGATAGTTATCAGATAAAGAAACAGCAGATAAAATACCCCCAAATATACCCACCTGCATATCGCCGGCATCTTAAGTTGTCTGAAACACATCCATCGTCAAACTCAAATTGCTGTTCTCAGGCCGCGATGACGTGCACTGCAACGATGCACAGATATTCTCACTGCACTTGTCCTCAACAAAGTTAGGAAGCAACGAAAGATTAGACGGCCGTTCTGTCCGTTTACAGGCTAGTACTGGATTTCATCAACGGTATATTGCCCAGGTCCGCGAGTAGTGCTGATGACCATAGCTAAGCCAGTCGTGTGTGGACCAAGTTTCCTCCATTGCTTACTTGATTCTGGTCACAGATAAAGGCCATCTGTGGACCTTGAAGCCTCATCAAGACATCTGGATATCGGGGTGCTTCGTGGACTTAGTAAATTGTAACAGTTTGTTTAGACTAAATGTGACCGTTTAAGCCGCTGAATTGTGTGCTGAAACACACCCATATTGCTGAATTAGTTTACCTTAGGAGAACATCAGATGATAAGACTTGTGTCTTTTTGCCAATTTGTGTGATGCACACCGATACAACGGCTGCCCGAGAACCAGTATATGTCCTTTCGCAAGTAACAGTTTGTACCTAATACAAGTAGTTTTGTTACATTACTAGCCTGTGCGGCGTCCTGCTACTGATAGAAGGCCCTTCTATAACGATGGCGGTGCAGTTGGCTGTATAATACCTTCTTCATGAGTTAATCCAAACATAGTTACCAAGTTCTTGCAATGTGGTAGACTTCCCATTAAGCAACACTAAGAGTTCAGACTATATTGTGAACCTGGAGTTCGTTGTCACCGATGAATGAACTCATACCAAACGCGTGCAATCGAATTGCAATTACATTCAAACCGCTTTTATTTTTACGAATGTGGAATCGGGCAAAGCGAAGTAGCTTCCTCTAATTGAATTCATTGCTTGAACATAAACGACGGTGCTCTGGGTAAAATTTCGTACCACTTTGGGTGCCAACCCAAGTTTACAACTAATTGGCGAAGAAAATTGCGGTTGGCTAATAATAACTGATACAATAAGGTGTCTAGATATACAGACTGCTTTCCGAAGGCGGTCAGCGGATACGGTTGAAACAGATCTGCGATGACTTTAAACATACAGGATGCAACTAGTACATACATAATAGCTTTCTTCAATGTCACATGTCAACATGTGTTCGTTCCGCTATACAGAGTACATTATGTATTTGACACAAAAACAATCTTTGTTCATGAAATCGCTAAGGTAATCGGACCACGAACAGATACCTAAAGCCGCTGGAATCATATACTCTCCAAACCCCAAAACGAGGGAAATTGACCTTACCCGCATGTACTCCACGATCAGCCGTAGCTCCTCCCCCGCAACGTGATATATCTGACGAAATATATTCAGCGATAATCAAAATAACTCTTTGAACAGCAGCTAAGAATTTAGCAGGACTAACTAGCTGAAGATAGCATTATTTTAACACATTTCGCCAAAGATAATCGCGGCCTCAGTTGCGTTCAGCTATTTATTTGTTTCCGTTACGTGTAATCAAGACATGACTACGTTGGATAACAGCACACTATGACAACCCATAATTGCATGCAAGTACTTCATGTAAACCTACGTAACTTCAGCAGTAAGGTGAGCACCTGCAAGGTATAAGCCATTTGACGCCCCAAAACAACAATAACACTTAATGGATGCGTTAAAGTATTAAAATTCTAATGATACTAGCAGATAACCTTACTTGAACAAACGGTTTTAGTTTGACCACCGGATGCAAAGTGTCGACAGCTTGCTGGAATCCGTCATATGAGGTTTCTTCCACCCCTTGCGCTTGGCTCCCCGAACTGACGGAGCTAGAGTACATGGAACTCAGATTGGCCACATCGACGTGCTCGGCAAAGGTCACTTGCTTTGGGACTGGGCCAGTTTGACTAAGTGCTTCCCCGTCACATGAGCTGCAGCAACTTGGGGAAGTAAGCTGTGTTGCACTCGAGTCTTCCCAGCTGATACAATCCTCTTGAAAGTCATTCAGTGAAGCGTCACCGGACGAACTCCTTCCATGGTTGAGCATACTCTCTGTCATATCATAGGAGCAATCACTGTGATATGAGCGTGTGTTTGATTTCATTCTTCCCCTTATGGGATTAGTTACCAACTGCTAATGAGTGTCTAGCTGCGGCATTCTTCGTATGAAAAATAACAAACGTATCACTGCATGTGCAGGTGCCATTGTCATATCCAAGTACGAACCAATCAGAGGACCGTAAACTGGCGTTTGGTCTAAAACAAGTTTGGGGGCCCACCAAAGATGGCCGGACTAATGTCATCCAATCCCCCTGTAGTTGATGACACCTTAGGTCATCAGTCAAGCGACTGTGACCCAAGTCAGTGGTCAGTGCAGAGCGAACATTAAAAAGCAGTCTAAACGAACCAGTTCTTAGATATCAAGCATGGTCTACGAAAGCAGGATACCCTTACGATGGGACGCACAAGTGTCAAGCGGAGGTAAGAAAGCAAATCAATAGTGGTTGTGTACCCCTGTACACTTCTAGTTACTTCATTTTCTACGATGTAAAAACACTTCAATTAAAGTGAAGCAAATATGCATTTCCTTTTTGGTCCCGTCCCGAATTGCCCAGCAGAGCTAACAAATGAGATTTCTCAATGAGTCTGCAGACAGAGTGTACCATCCTTTATTTCTCTATGAATGTGATGGTAGCCTTCGATGAGCAACACTTCAAAACCATGCTCTAAGTATCGTTTGGTGATCCTTGTGATATCGCTTTTCTTGGAACCCATTGCAGAACATATCTAGTGGTTGGTTAATCCGGTATACGGTATCATATTTCCCTCTGGTTTGGAATATGCCTACCAAATGGAAAATTCCCATCACTTGTGTCGACAACAATGATGTTTGCACATACTAACCGCTGGACACTTTTGTATGCACTGATATTGTATAATAGTGATAAGGTTAATTAAATCAAAGCAATTGACTGCATCCAATGGCGTAGTAGCTACTTCTGCCTCTCGAGGCGATGGGAAAAGTGTTACCTTGAATGAGGACAGAATGGGCGCGTGAAGGCCCCATCATCGGCTCAAGGTAAAGAGCGCATTAGTTTCGATGAAATGAATGATTGTTTGGGACACTGAGGTGACTGTAATGATTTTGACTGCAATGGGATAAGTAAGATTATCTTTGGGAGGAAACTATGCACAGGTGTGACACATGGCGCAAGTTTTGATAGCCATATTGAGTAGCATTAAAGTATTCAACCTTCAGCTTAGCTGGAAATTGTGACCCTAACTAGTTGGTATCGAACAATCAACAGTCAGTTGGCCGAACAACCACCGCGTGGTGCCAGCTGGGTGATTCGTGTGTAACCAGTTCCAGCAAATAGTTCGGCGGCAGTGTACCAGGACGTGGTGGGTTTTCGCCAGGCAAGAGTTCTCCCTATAAAAAGCCACAAATGTCCGTTGCTCAATACTATGACGTGGCGAATATGACTCTCCACCAAATAATGTCACTGCCCCGTGGCTAGCTGGATAATTATATCCAATCCACGGACATCAATCGTCTATCCTTACATAGTGGAAGCTATCAAACAGTCAAAAATACAACGGCCCACTTACAGGCACAAACTACAAAACTACTCATATACACAATTACATACGCCTTCATACACACACTCAATGCTATGGCAAGCACGTTGTATTTTTCCACATTTTTCTTCAAGCATCGTTATCATAACATGATTGTAAAGTCCAAAAGGAAGTTTGATGTATCCCCAACCTTGATTGCTTACATGAGAACACGGTATCGCTTTATTCCTTAAGTATTCTGCTCATTTATACTGCTTTACTGTAACCTACGATCGGCTAGCATATCGTATATTTATTCCTTTCACTCGATCACTGACATATCATTGACGTTTCAAGGCCATTCATATTATTATGTTACTGTTGCACTGCCCAAATACTCGCACGCCGCCGCACGCTGTACAATTTCTGCCCTCTTGCACTACGATTGCAAAACCTATTCGCAAATCATGTACTGTATTTAGTAGGCCTTATAGAACCACGGTTACAGGATACTTCGTTTTATTCTTCTGCCCAGACCGCACGTTAAGTCTAGGGTTATTTGTTCGTAGTTTCTAGTTTAGTTTTAGTACGATGTACTTAGTTTAGGCTTCGTATCCTTGATACAATGATCCTGCCTGTAAAGGCCTGCCTCGCGTCTTCAAAAAGGAAGTTCATTTTTTTAACTAAAAAGACTGGCCTCTGTCATATGCCTCTCGGGGCGGACCGCACATGCCCCCTTTGCTACGCCTCTGACTAAGTCCACCCGTTGCCGCGCTTCCCAGTCGACATGGGATACTTGCACTCAGAGAGGATGGATGACCAGTCACTCCACTGACCCAGCCCCGATACCTACTCGCACACGGGGTCACGCGGTTTTGAAGCCTTCTCACCATCTCCAACACGCATAGTACTCGCGGTACTGGAAGAGACAGCATCCAGTGCATGATCACTCTAGTTGCTGCCTCAGTGAAGAAATAACCGAGGGCGTCCAATGTGTATCGCATTCCAAGTTGGGGTCGCGTGTCGTAACCTATATGAAGGCAAACACAGCATCAGCAATGCATCAGCAGTACTGACGCTTCGCTGCCGCGCAACCACTAACAATCGCAGGTGGGATGATGATACTGCGACGGTAGCCCGCTCCCCTCCGTAGGGTCGAAATATCGCCCTCAGATTACAAGGCAGGCTTACCATCCTTGAGGCTCCGAGCTGGCTTATAACCCAGATAGACTGCGAGTGAGCCTAAAGCCAGCATAGATATGTTATTCGGAGTGACAATCACTGGCTGCAGAACCTGGTGGTGAGGCAATTAAGACTTCCGCAGGAGGCACGTCGCGGGTTCGTGTAGTAGTAATCTAACGCTATTAGAGGAAGCGAAATATGGAGAGATGCATTCAGACGCATTGGTGGGTGGGAGAAACACTTCATATTCATCGATCACAGACACAGGCATAGTTTAAGAAATGGAGGAGATTTTTTCTGCGACGGAAATTGCATTCCGGTTTGAAAAATGACGCAGCCCTGTGTGGACACAATTGCTAGCAAACCAAACAACGACACCTGCGGGCAGTTCCGTCTATTTGGGTCCACTCCAGGATCACGATGAAGGCTGTATTCAAGACACATCAACTGAGTATAAGCACATAGCCTTACGAGTGCAGAATGAGTGTCCATCGATCAGCTAGTTATGTGACAATTTGAGGCGAGAGACATGCGTGTCAGGCACACGTATACAGTTGTCTCTGAGTCATAGTTTTCATCCGCGGAGCCATTCTTCGAAGCCAACACGGTGACGAAGATAGTGCATTGACATTTGAGCCTTATAAACTGCAACACTTTGGTACGGTCTCCTGTTGCCTAACCTGGACAGATTCATTCATCACATCGGGGAATAAAAACCGTTACTTCACTAAGGTTTTATATTCCTCTCATAATGCACTTTTACGACATGCAGAATTACTGTGCGTTACTAATCAACAGGTGAGGAGATGACTGTCCAAATTGAAATGTCCCCTATGCGGACCTTTGAAAAGGTGTGGCAGCTCAGAGCACCGTGTGCAGCTCTAAGAATTTCAGTGATGGCGCTTGCGAGTCAATTCCGAGATGAGTGCCAACGTACCTCCATCTGACGGAAACCGAGGCTAGCATGGCCTTCCAGATGTTTCGGGTTCATGCTTGCAGACATACTTGGTGTTCATAAATGGCATGACGAGAGTTGCGCCCTTAGATATCGTGCTCTTAATTGATAGTATTAAAACAAGCCAAGCAATCAAATGGTCATTTGAATACGAGATGCGTCGGCATTATTTGGATGCAGCTTCAAATGGATCGGTCCGCAATCGATTGTCAGGCACCGCGAATAGATACAAAGGTGTTTAAGATGTCACTCAAATATACACACATTTCTAGACCTGGAGTTCATAAACTGTTGATTCTTCCTAGAGCCTAATCGAGACGGTTATGCCTGAGACGAACTCTGATGTCGGCGATGGTGTAAAACGAGCTAACCAACACACCTGTGCATTGGGCGTGGCATCCGACATTTTTGGCTCGTTTAGCTTCCCCGTGGTGCCGAATCCCCCCCCCTATTCATAAGGGAGGTAGTCACATTGACCCAACCAATTACCGTCCGATAACGCTACTCCCTGTGCTTTCCAAGGTTATGGCGTCTATCAATGCTGATGCACTCATGCAGTAGCTGGGAAATCACAACACGATACCACCATAATAATATGCCTTCCGATAAAAACGATCATGCACTACAAACCTGTTAATTGCTCGCAACAGCTGGACTGACTTATTGATGGTGGAGCATGAGTCGATATCATGTATTTGGAGCTCTCATAAATGGTTGATCGCCTAGACCACCAAATTCTCCTCCATAAACTTCAGTTTTATGACATTGGGGATCGGCTGCTGCGTTGAATAGGCATTTTCCTGCAAGAAGGTCTGTTGGAAGTGAGAGCGCGAGAATCCATGTCCGACGCAATTGAAATGGAGTGCGGTGTACCACAAGGCCCGGTGTTAGGGCCCCGTCTACTCTTGATTTTTACAAACGATCTGGTGGGGTAATTTACTTTCGATTTCCTATTCTTCACGGATACTTTCAAGTTATGTGGAGCGTTAAGTGAACCGAAAGACCACGGAAAACTCCAGCGTAACCTCAACACCATTTCGAACTGGTCAGTTCAGGATACACTACCGTTCAATATGGAAAAATGTCACGTTGTTCAATGGAGCCATAGGCATGACTACGTTATGGGCTTGGGTCACATAAATTGCAAATCACTTTCCAGGAACGCGACTTTGCTGTGCTCATTCAAAGGGACCTTAACTGTTCAAAGCAGTCAGAGGCAGCTGCGAAATGAGCCAACCAGCACGTCGGCTTGCTGCAGGAGAGCATTCGGAAGTCTCGATCCATCAATCTTCCCCATGATGCACAATTCTTATGTGCGCCCTCAAGTTGAATACGTCATCCAAGCTTGGCATCCTTGATTGAAG